TGCGAACTATTTTTTCCTTGACGAAAATCGTACATTTTCCCGGATGTTCAACATTCATTTATGTTGATTGTAAACGGCTGAGTCGTGGATGTAACTGCATTTGTAGGTGTATTTGGTCCTTGATGAAGTGGTAATGAGTAGGTAGACTTCTGCCTTCTTTTGACAAGATGGATAATGCTAATGATCATTAAGAACATTAGTGCAATATAAATGGCTATTTGATGATGTTCGATGTTAGAGAGATTGTGGGGTAATTTGAAACTAGCATATGATGCCTGTAGTGTGCTTTCTGTATGATCCAGTGTAGTTTGTAAGGGAGTTTTCTAGTCGGGATATGAATCTCAGTCGTATTCCGGGGTCCTTTACAAGAAAATTCGATGAACAGAGGTTTTATAGACTGTTTTGGAGGGGTTCTTCGGGTCCAAAAATTCCACGGGCTAGACCTTCGGGCGAGGCCGCAGCCGATCGGAAGACTTTGCGCTGAAAAGAGACTCTCGCTTAACGAAGGCGGAAAATTCCACCGGCTGGACATTCGGGCGAGGCCGCAGCCGACAGGAAAACTTGGCGCTGAAAAAGAGACTCTCGTCTAACGAAGGCGGAAAATTCCACCGGCTGGACATTCGGGCGAGGCCGCAGCCGACAGGAAAACTTGGCGCTGAAAAAGAGACTCTCGTCTAACGAATGCGGAAAATTCCACCGGCTGGACCTTCGGGCGAGGCCGCAGCCGACAGAACAATTCGGGGCTCAGAAAAATCAATCACGCGCGTTAAGGGGGATCCGCCGCCCTTCTTCCGACCTGCCTCGGGAGGATCGGCCTTCCCCAACGAGTTTACTAAAGGGAGGATCCGCCTTCCCTCTTCCGTCCTAACTGGGGAGGATCGTCCGTCCCAAAACGATTTGTTCACTAGGGGGATCCGCCGCCCCTTTCCCGATATGCCTAGGGAGGATCGGCCTTCCCGAAAACGACTGCCCTACAGGGAGGATCCGCCTTCCCTTTTCCCGGCCTACTCGGGGAGGGTCGTCCGTCCCAGAACGAGTTACGCGCGAGGGAGGATCCGCCTTCCCTTTCCCGACCTGCCTGGGGAGGATCGTCCGTCCCAAAACGATTTGTTCACTAGGGGGATCCGCCGCCCCTTTCCCGATATGCCTAGGGAGGATCGGCCTTCCCGAAAACGACTGCCCTACAGGGAGGATCCGCCTTCCCTTTTCCCGGCCTACTCGGGGAGGATCGTCCGTCCCAGAACGAGTTACGCGCGAGGAAGGATCCGCCTTCCCTTTCCCGACCTGCCTGGGAGGATCGTCCGTCCCAAAACGAGTTATGCACTAGGGAGGATCCGCCTTCCCTTTACCGTCCTAACTAGGGAGGATCGGCCTTCCCAAAACGATATCCACAGAGAGGATAATTTCACTACCAAGACTACGTTTACTCGGCAATGGATTAACAAGGAAAATTAATAACAACGGGTTAATGTTTCTATGTACTTGCTTTCAAACTTTATTTCGTTAGTATCTATACTGCACCGATTACAGTGTGTTCTCGCTAACCTGTCTTTTTGATCCCACGTCCTCCACCCCCGAAATGGGATGGTCCACGTCCATTGTAACATCGGAGATGGCCCCGGTGAAGTCCCCAATCCAGCTGGCCCCTTGGATCTCATCTAGCACGCGATCCAGTGTCTCGTCTTCCCAAATGGGGAAGGGTAGGTCAGGAGCGGCGCACTTCGGGGACCACTGGGGCCGGAAATCCCTTCCCCCTGGGGTTGTTGGGGCAATCCGGGTGGATCGCCTGCGACCTCTACCTCCTCCTTCGCCACCCTTGCGGGGAATAGTCGTCGGAACAATGGGCGCTCCTCGCCGACGTCGTCGCTATCGGTCGTCTCCTCATACTCTGCGAAGAACTTTGTGAGGGGTCCTTCGATCGGTGGGGTACGGCCACGTCGTTTGCCGTCTGACGGCGCAATCTACGTTTGGCTGGCGTGACACACCATCCTCTTGGGCGTAAGGACTTGGTCGGGCGACGTCTGCGCTGATCGAGACTGTTTGGCGGTGTTCGGGGACGTCTGCGTCATACTGTTGACCGTCTTCCTCCTCTCGGGTGACTGTGCCGGGGCTGCCTGCGTATCTTGACTCGTGTTCGGTGTGTGTCGTTTCCCCCTGTTCCCATCTTCTGAATCCTCATGCTCCTTCTTGGTGTCGGAGTCCGGTGAATGGTTTCCCGGATGACGATCTTCCAACATGGGGAGTGGCGGCGATAGTGGCTCCTCGTACGGACGGCCCCTCTGGCTGCAGGTCGGGTACTCGGAACACCACGGATCGGGTCTCAACCCTCATCAAGGCCACATGCCCATGGAAGCGGGCGATCTGGTGGTCGTCCGTGTGGAAACAGTTATGGTCGAAGACCGCCCCGCGACTTGTGCCTGAGTATCCGGGGTGACCCGTTCGGGGATCTCGCCGGCTCCACGGCCCCGCCTGCTCGCCGTCGTCCGGCGCCTCCGTGTAGAATGGAGACGGGCAACGTCCGCCTGTGTGCCCCACGATCCGTACTCCTCACCTTCCGAGTCCGAGCTGTCCTCGAGAATCGGGACGGGAAAACGAACTCGACCCAGGTGCGCGTCGGTTGCCGTCGGGTCTGGGGCTCCACGCACTCTCGCGTGCTCTCGCGAAACGGTCGCAAGACCCCTCCGACTCGTCCCCTTCCGAAGCCAGGCCATCCACTTCCTCGTGATCCCACTCGTCAGGTCCGGCTGCGTCGCTAGGCACATCCTCGTTCTCGTCCGAGCTCTCCCATCGTCGCCTATCGCATCCGGCCACATTGCCAAGTGCGTCTTCGCTCTCGTCCGAGCTATCCAAGATTTCGATGACTTGGTCCATCTAGAATTACAGACTAACTTATCGCTATAGCAACCTAACCCCACGAATTCCTAACTTCGGTGCAGTGATATTCAGACTTAGTGCTACATGTTACAGTTTTCTTGACTTAGGGTTAATTTCATTACTCGCTATTAGTACTCAATTTTCTCTATCTACCCATACCATTACTTCACGTAGTCGACGTCGCATTCCTCGTTGGTAGTTTCTCCTGGGTGATACGGCTTGAGCTGGGCGATGTTTGCTGTGCCTCGTTTCTTCTCTCCTCGGCGTCGTAGAATAACCAGGTTTGGTGATGTGAACTTTGAGACAACGTAGGGCCCGTCAAATTTAGGCGCTAGTTTGGCTGCAAATCCCTCGGCCGCTTTCGAGAGGTGGTGCTGACGGAGCCACACCTGATCTCCAAGGTTTGGCCTCCATTCCCGTCGGCGAAGATTATAATGCCTCGCCTCCTCCTGCGACGATCGTTGTAGATTGTCACGCACCAGGTCGAAGACTCCCCTCAGTTGGCATGCCTTGTCGTCGGGGTCGCCGGTCTCCACCGCAGATCCAGGGGTGACCTCGTCGTAGAACATCGAGGGCAGTCGAGGCTCGCGTCCTTGCGTGAGGAATGCTGGGCTGAACCCCGTCGAGTCCGAAACGCTGGAATTTATCGCAAGTGTTATCTCCGGCAGCAACTGGTCCCAGGAACTCTGATCGCCTTCAGAAAGTTGGGCCATCATCGTCTTTATAGTTCGATTGGTTCTCTCCGTCGGATTCTCTTGAGGACAGTATAGTGCGGTATATTGTATCTCCACTCCCAGCGATGCGAAGAACTCCTTTAACGTATGACTGGAAAATTGTTTGTTATTTCACACACGAACTTCCTCGGGATGCCGACTCGACTCAATATGCGCTCCCGGAAAGCCTTTTGGACGTGAGCTGCCGTGGCCTTTCGTAATGGAATCAGTTCCACCCACTTGGAAAACGCATCGTGAAACACAAGGAGCATGGTATTCCCCTGTTTCGAGCGGGGTAGAGGTCCAACGAAATCCGCGCACAACACATCGAACGGCTCTTGTGTCACCCGAGTCAGCATCTTACCCGCCGACTTGGTTTGAGCGGTCTTAAATTTTTGGCATGACTCGCAGTGTTGTACATACCGTCTTGCATCCCTGAACATTCCGGGCCAAAAGTATCTTTGTGCTAACCTGGTGATCGTCTTCCGTCCGCCGAGATGTCCGGCCGGAGCATCATGACACTTTCGTAAAACCCGACTTCTGTGTGGGCTAGGAACACAGAGTTTCCACTGAAAGTAATCTTCGCCGTCGATCCTTCGTCCGATGTTACGATAAATTTGTCCATTCTCCACGGTGTAGTCTGCGAACTTCTCAGGGTGTTCCCGTATCTTGCTTTCCAAACTTTGAATCCACTTGCAGGGAGACTCCATCTCAACCATCTGTTGACGCATTATTCCGAAGTCCTGCGCACGGCTGTCGGGATAATGCGTCGGCCACCGTGTTTAACTTCCCTCGTCGATAACGCACGTCGAACTAGAATTATTGCAATTCTAAAGCCCACCGTGCTATTCTACCGGACGGACTTTCAATAGAATTCAACCATTTGAGAGCTAAGTGGTCGGTGACTACCTCGAACCTGTAGCCCTCCAGATAGCATCTCATTTTTCTGATGGCCCATATGATCGCCAAGGACTTCTTCTCCGTGGTCGTACAGTTGCCCTCTGCGGCAGTGACTGGCATACGCGATTACCTTTTCCTGACCCTCGAAGTCTTGTGAGAGTACTGCTCCCAGACCAACGTCGCTCGCATCCGTTTGCAACACAAACTTCCTGTCAAAATCCGGGCACCCTAAGACCGGGGCCGTGGTTAGACTGCGTTTGATATTCTCGAGAGCTGTCTGTTGTTCGGAACCTCAATTCCATTTCTGCCCCTTTTTTAGCAGAGAGGTCATGGGTTGTACCACCGTTGCGAAATTCGGTACAAAACGCCGGTACCACGACGCCATGCCCAGCCATTGAGATGAGTTGGGGGTTTCAAACCTCTGATAGCCGCAACTTTCCCTGGATCCATCTGTACTCCTTCGCTGCTAATGACGTGTCCCAAGTAGACCAACTTTCGCATGAAGAAAACACACTACTGGGGATTAGCCCTCCGCAATCTTCGGAAGACTTCGGCTAAATTAGTCAGATGCTGCTCTTCTGTGGCGCCTATGACAATTATGTCATCCAGATATGCGAAGGCGAACGGGTCCATATCTGCGCCGATAACGCTATCTAAGGCCCGTTGAAAAGTTGCGCCGGCCGAATGGAGTCCGAATGGCATGACCTTCCATTGAAATAGGCCTCTACCTGGGACCGTGAAGGCGGTGATTTGGCGACTGTCTCGAGCCATTGGTATCTGCCAGTAGCCGTGTTTGAGATCCAACGTCGAAATATACCGCGCTTGTCGCAATTTCTCCAGAATATGGTTGATCCTTGGGACTGGGTATGCGTTCGGCACCGAATGGGCATTTAACTGCCGATAATCTACACACATTCGCCAGTCGCCCGTCTTTTTCTTGACTAACACAATCGGGGCACTGTGAGGACTTCGCGAGGGTTCAATAGCATCGGCGCGGAGGAGTTCATCTACTTGAGCGTCGATCACTTGTTGCATCGCTGGGTTCCTCGGGTAGTATCTCTGTTTCACGGGCTTGTCGTCGCGCATGACTATCCGATGCTCCGCTACGTGGGATACTCCTTGAAGTTTCTCGAAGAGTGCCAACTCACGAGCGATGAATTCCCGTTGGTCGGGCCTTAAGTCATCCGTTCCCGTCTCTGGTTGGCCACCTTCCGTTTCGCAGTCCTCGTTCGGTCTCTGTATCTCTGGCACCTTTTCCTGTGCCGCCGCCTCCTGGCCGTGTGACTCGTTGAACCTTGTCATCTCAGAACTAGCTAACGAATGCATGATCCTGTTGTTTGACGGAGCCTCGTTTACCTCCGCCTGATCCATTTTCGGACTCTTGAAGCTAGATTCTTCCCTCGTCTGTGCTGTTTTCCTTTTCCTTTCCAGCTTCCCTGTGTTTATCGTCATGGCCGGGATCGACTCCGCTTGACTCGGGAGTAGTCGGGCATCTTCCGCCGACGGACTCAACGTCATTGCCAGAGTCGCTGTCCCGCATTGTATTCGTGTCCCCATCACGGCCAAGAAATCCATACCCAATATCATGCGGTCTAACATAGTGGGCAAAATCAAAAATGGCATCGTTACCTGTTTACCAGCAAATTCCACCCGGGTGCGCCATAGCTCCTCCACCTTCAAGTTCGATCGGTCCGCCAGTGCGATCGTGGTCGTGATTCCATAGATCTCTTCTCGTTTGGCCACCATGCGGGCGAATTCCTCACTGACAAAACTCCGCGACGCTCCCGTGTCAATTGTCGCGTCCACCCATCGTCCGCCGATCCGCACGTAATCAGGCCATTGTGCAGTCTCAATTGCGAGTTGTGTGTGGCCGGGTTGTTTCTCCCAACGTCTCCGCTGCTCCCGGGCCTCGGCGAAGACGTTGTCCGTTTCCCGGTCCCGTTTCAAGATCCCTCTACGGCCGCAATCCCAACAAAAGTCCACTGGTGGGCCAGTACACTCCCGCCGGAAATGCCCCACTTCCCCGCATCGGCGGCACGCGCGCTGCACGTCTACGGTTGCCCCGGGCTGCACGAGCATACGGTGTGTAGCACCCACTTCATGATGGGGTGTTCCGGGATTCCGAAACGGAGTTGGGGTGCGACGCATATTGGGACCCTCATTGTTCATGCCCATCTTTCGCAACACTCCAACGCGGCTTGACTCCAGTTGTCTCACGCTCTCATGCTCTGTCGCCATCTGTGTCAACTGAGCCAGGGTCGTGAACTCATGGCGTCTAATGTACAGCCGGTATTCCGGCGCCATGTTCTCGTAGGCCCGATACACTTCCTCTTCCTCACTGTAACCGGCCTGCTGCATCTTTGTCCTCAGTTCGACCAAGTAGTCTTAAAATCCTTCTCCCACTCTCTGAACGTGAGTCCTGATCTCGTCTTCTAGACGCCCGAAATAGCGGGGAGGTAAAAAGAATTCCAGAAATTCTCGCCGGAACGTCGCCCATGAGGCCGTCTGCAGGTGGCTCGTTCGGAACCAACGGGCTGCCCTTCCTTCGAGGATCTCAGACATGGCCCGGGGGATTTCTTCCAGATTGATCCCGTACGTAGCTATTTTCTCCTCTAGCTCTGCGATCAGCATCAACGGATCGGACTCTCCGTCGAACCTCAAGTTCCACTTGCGCATTCGTTCCGGAAGCAAGTGTCGAGGAAGGGGGACCCTTACTGATGCCTCCTGTGTGGGCGCACCCATCTCATTACTGGGTCCGGGCGGCAACAACAAGGTATCCATCGTCGAGCTAGGATGAGCTCCGCGTCGGGTGGTACGGCTTCCAGGTGATGAAGTGCCGGCGGAGGTCGCTGCCAGCCCAACCGGAAAAGTTTCGGCTCCTTGTGCTAGGCCTACGTTTTTCCCCTGTCTGTTGGGAAACGGAGCGCGAGAGCTATAGAATTTTTGTAATTCCATGAGTCGTTTCCACACTGTCTCAGGAAACAATCCCCTGCTCACAAGCGTGGCGAACGCCTTCTGCGTATCTGCTACTGTGCCGTCTGCACTGAACCCAAATTCCTGCGCTAGAGCCGCGAGCTCGTCTTTACGCCGGGCGTAGATCCACCGTACACCCACTCCGGGTTTCTTCGTCAAATCCGCATCTTCATACTCGCAATCCGACTCCTTTGGGTCGACCATGGCTCACTCAGTTAGTCTGTGATTGTTTCCTTGCACAACTCCGTACAGGGCGCAGGATGGATTCTTCGATCCACCTCGCAAGACAGTTTGTATGTTTTAGTGGGTCTTTACGCCACTTTGTTGTCACTCTAGCTAGCCTCAGTTTCCCTGCTCGGGCGCCACTTGTAAGGGAGTTTTCTAGCCGGGATATGAATCTCAGTCGTATTCCGGGGTCCTTTACAAGAAAATTTGTAAGTCACTGAGACACTGAGCTAGAGAGGTCTGTCCATTCGATGCACAGAGGTTTTATAGACTGTTTTGGAGGGGTTCTTCGGGTCCAAAAATTCCACGGGCTGGACCTTCGGGCGAGGCCGCAGCCGATCGGAAGACTTTGCGCTGAAAAGAGACTCTCGCCTAACGAAGGCGGAAAATTCCACCGGCTGGACATTCGGGCGAGGCCGCAGCCGACAGGAAAACTTGGCGCTGAAAAAGAGACTCTCGTCTAACGAATGCGGAAAATTCCACCGGCTGGACCTTCGGGCGAGGCCGCAGCCGACAGAACAATTCGGGGCTCAGAAAAATCAATCACGCGCGTTAAGGGGGGATCCGCCGCCCTTCTTCCGACCTGCCTCGGGAGGATCGGCCTTCCCCAACGAGTTTACTAAAGGGAGGATCCGCCTTCCCTCTTCCGTCCTAACTGGGGAGGATCGTCCGTCCCAAAACGATTTGTTCACTAGGGGGGATCCGCCGCCCCTTTCCCGATCTGCCTAGGGAGGATCGGCCTTCCCGAAAACGATTGCCCTACAGGGAGGATCCGCCTTCCCTTTTCCCGGCCTACTCGGGGAGGGTCGTCCGTCCCAGAACGAGTTACGCGCGAGGGAGGATCCGCCTTCCCTTTCCCGACCTGCCTGGGGAGGATCGTCCGTCCCAAAACGATTTGTTCACTAGGGGGGATCCGCCGCCCCTTTCCCGATATGCCTAGGGAGGATCGGCCTTCCCGAAAACGACTGCCCTACAGGGAGGATCCGCCTTCCCTTTTCCCGGCCTACTCGGGGAGGATCGTCCGTCCCAGAACGAGTTACGCGCGAGGAAGGATCCGCCTTCCCTTTCCCGACCTGCCTGGGGAGGATCGTCCGTCCCAAAACGAGTTATGCACTAGGGAGGATCCGCCTTCCCTTTACCGTCCTAACTAGGGAGGATCGGCCTTCCCAAAACGATATCCACAGAGAGGATAATTTCACTACCAAGACTACGTTTACTCGGCAATGGATTAACAAGGAAAATTAATAACAACGGGTTAATGTTTCTACTTGCTTTCAACCTTTATTTCGTTAGTATCGCGTGCCTGTTTCCGTGTCTCGGGTCCTCGCTGCCCGCGTACGTCTACTCGCCACCCTTCTCCGCCGGAAACTCCTCGATCTCACTTTTCCTATGTGCCCGCATGCTTTTTTTTTACCCTCGCTTATCCTAAGCTTATCTGGCACCTCTCTGCCCTTTCTGGTATTTTTACCCAGGATCGATACCGTGGGCGGGGTTGATGACCTTGCTTTACATTCCAATCCCAAATAAACTTAGCCTTAAAGTGATTATATGTATTCGGCTCCTTGCCGTTAATTTCAGGTTTCTCTCTTATATCTATCATTATCTTATAACTATAAAAATCAAAAATGGTATTTCACGACGTTTTTCTCTTAGACCTAATAATATTAATAATGATAATAAAGTCGAAATGAGCTGCCAGTCCCATCGGTTCATTTCTCCGCTGGCTGTGACGTTCGGGCCATCCGGCCACATCGTCACAAGTTATTGTGATCAATGTATTTCTAATGGTACATCCAGGACTTGCAGTTAAATAGCCAGATTTTTTCTATTTAATTCTATTTTAAGGATGCGTTTGTTGCATATATGATTTATGGCAGACATTACATACAAAGGAAATGGTTTTTTTGTATTAATTATTTTACAAGATGCATCTGTTTTATTGTGAAATAATTTCATTTCGCAGCTTGTTTCTGATGAAAGCATTGCTTGCTTGTTGTAACAGATAAAATCTCTTGTTGTTTTCTTTTGACAAGAATTAAATTCTGCTTCTGACATTTCCATAAATTCATCACGATGACTATTGAATGCAAGGAACGGTGAATTTATCTCAATTAAATGGATGCCTTCCCTGCTCAGAAATGGAATTGGAGTCAATTTGTAAAATCTAAAACTTGAGATGATATTAAAGGAAATTTCACTTTAATAATGACGTGTTCATTTACAATAGTTCCTTCGCCTCTCATTAGCTGATATGCCATAAGTAAATTATCTGGCGAAATTGGGAGCATCTGTCTAGCTTTAGTTGCCGTGGTGATATTAACATTGGACTGATCATATTATGACGAATATCTGTTAATATATTTATTATTTCTGTTTGTATTCGATGAAGATTTGATGCCAGAATAGAAAGTTGAGTTTATAGTGTTATATACCATGAGAGTTTATCAAATGCACTCTTGGTACTTTCTGTGCCGGAGATAAAATCTTCAATCAATTTTAATCGTTTTGAATTGGAGATCTCATCTCTTTTTATGACATTTATTGTTGAATCTATTAATGACGTCTGATTTTTTAATAAATTCAATAGGTGCTTTTCATTGCCTTCAACTTTCGTTATTGTCTTGGCCATTTCGTTAGCATATGTTGAGTCTAATACGCCAAAAAGACTACTTGCTATATTACCAACGATATAAAGTGGGGCTCTTCCGTGATCTTGTGAGTAGATCTTCCTCTAAATGCTTTAAATGGTGATACATGCTAGAACACGCTTCTTGTTGTGGAAATTGAGTACATAAATGACCAATCTTAGTTACTCCCATTGAGAATGTGTTCATATCATTCCAGTATGGCTTTAAATTGTAATAGACAACTATAGACCAGTCCGTTGTGTCCAGTTGACCGTTTCCAAGTTTTTCAAAAAATATTCCTGGCTTTGAGACAAATTTTGTTACATTGACTGACTGAGCAACAGTTAATGGTAAAAGAAGAAGCATTACTATTAATGTCATTGCCAATGAAGATATTCCTTTAGATTATTTCCTTTTTGGTGTGGTCTCCTCAGCCACCACGTCCTCAGAGTTCTCGGATAGTGGATGCTTATTTGTTGGTTCTTCCTCTGCGAATAATGGAGCAATGTGTTGAATGTCGCGCTTAAAAACTCCTTTTGATGTTTTGACTTCCACTACTCTGACGAAATTGTCTTTTCCAGGGATTATCTTGATAATTCGTCCCATTGGCCACTGCAATACTGGTATATTGTCCTCTTTTATTAAGACCAATGCTCCTTCCTTTATATTTGCTGAGGAACGTCTCCATTTTTGCTTCTTCTGCAGTTGTTGAAGATAATCAGTTGACCATTGCTTCCAAAACGCATGTTTGAGCTTTGATACAGCTTGCCATCGCTGTCCTCACGTCTGGGGTTGCTGAGACGGTTCACTGTCAGCCTGGGCGGTGAGTGGTTCTCCAATGAGAAAATGACCTAGAGTGATTGCTGTTAAATCCTTTGGATCAGTCGACATGGGAACTAAAGGTCGAGAGTTGAGTATTGCTTCGATCTCGACTATAACAGTTTCTAACTCCTCATCAGTTAGATTAGCTGTGATAACATTTTTTAACAGCAAATGCTTAGCTGATTTTACCGCAGCTTCCCACAATCCTCCAAAATGCGGAGCTCTTGGTGGAATAAATTTAAAATTAACTCCTTTGTCAATACAATTTTCGACAATGCGTTTTCTTGCCTTTTCTGAAAATATGGCATCTTCCAGCTCCTGAAGCTTATTCCTTGCTCCAACAAAATTAGTCGCATTATCACAATGTAAGGTTTGACACTTTCTTCGCCGACTGATAAAACGTCGAAGTGCTGCCAAAAATGCTTCGGTTGTAAGATCACTCACTAACTCCAGATGGACTGCTTTAGTTGCAAAACAGCAAAATATTGCGATATATTCGGTATGTGGTTTCTTCCCACGAATTTTGTAGTGAACTTTAAATGGTCCACAGTAGTCAACACCAGAATTCAAGAATGGTCTTGCTTGAGTTATTCTTAATGGTGGTAGGTTTCCCATTATTTGCTCTAATAGTTTTGGCTTGGCTCTGGTACATTTGACGCAATTTAGAATGACACTTCGGGCAATTGTTTTTGCTTTTATTGCCCAATATCT